AACACAAGCAGGGGAAGTGGGAGAGGGAGAAGCAGGCTTCCCGCGGAGCAGGAAGCCCGATGCGGGGCTCGATCCCAGGACCCTGGGATCATGACCTGAGCCGAAGGCAGACGCTTAACGACTGAGCCACCCAGGTGCCCCACCACATAGTTTTTTTTAAAGCACTTACCCAATAAGCAGAGATAGTTGGGTTCAGTCAGTCGGGATAGTTTTGTGACCTGATTCAAGATGTTGTAAAGCTCTGTTGGTTCACATAAAACCAAACCAGCCATCCTACTGGGAAGAATCAATAATGTAAAAGCTTAGTACCTCTTTCTATTTTAAATGAATGGCCAAAGATACTGGATTAAACCCCTTTACACAGCTTCAAACCAAGATGAAAGTAACCACGCGGGTGATCAGGAAAGCTTCAAGAATCTGTAGTAAAATGTGTGTCGAGGAGAATAAAGTGCTGAACACAGCACGTATGAGCCAGAGAAATACCAAGTAGGCTATACTATAGTCAGCGATTCATTTCCTCTGTCAGCAAATAATTAGTGAGCACCTACTGTATGCCAGGCCCTGGAAATAACCAGTAAACTAGACTACCGTCATGAAGGTTCCAGCCTAGCATGGAATACAGACACTGCACCAAAAAAACACATTATACATAGGAACAGCGCTACCGAAGAGTCAGCATCCAGTGTTGGAGGATGAGCTAACGGGAGGGCCTCATCTAGTTGAGGCTGTTAGCAGTCACCTTTCAGACAGCCCTCTCTAGCTCCTGATTCAGGAGGCTATGCAAGACTTAGCCAGGTAGAGAAGGGAGAGAAGGTGAAGAAGGCAAGAACATTCAGTACTTGAGAGCCTAAAGGAGGCTGGTGTGTGTGGTGATCGCAGGGAGAGAGTGATGAGCAAAGACCCTGGGACAGGGCCTTGTAGGCTTAGGATCAGGATGGAGGCAGTCAAATTTGGGTGGAAAATCGCTGATGTGTATCAATCAAACTGCCCAGCCAGCCTGGGCTCTGGTTCCTGACTGGAGGGCTGCCCTTACTTGCTATCCTGGTTCCTGAGCACATAAAATCTCTGGTGCCCCAAGCACACGGAGCAGGAAGGGCTGGGCCCGTGCAGCAGCTTCCTACAGGGAGGCCACCCTTTAGCAGGGGTCAGGGGGGTTACAGAGAGCTGCCCAGCAGGCCTCTGGAGGCCAGCGGGGGGCATGTGGGAGAGAAGCTGAGTCTAGGGGTAATCTTCCTCAAAATAGTTAGGATTATTGGTATCAGGGTCCTCGGAAAGGTCAACCCCTCAACATGGGCCCCGGGATCCTTCTCATGAACTCAGACTTTGGTTCTCAGCCTCCCCTCCAACATGGTCAATTTCAGCCTCCACATGGATCATTCGTATCAGCAGCAAACATCCTCTGTACCCATCTCTGTTCTCCTTTACAGAGACACTTCTGCCTCCAATTCCTCACCTCCAAACTCTCCTGGCTGTGCCACTTACTGTCGGCTGCCTGACCGTGGGGAGTAATTAGCCTCTCCATGCCTCAGTTTCTACCTCTATAAAATGGGGGTAACAGTAATACTGCCACTTCTGTAAAGCCAGGATAATAGAACCTCCCTGCTGCATGTGGATTAATGAAAGCACACACATGAGACATTCTGATCAGGGAAGAAATGCAACCTTCTCCCCTGGAGCTTCTAACCCATCAGACCACAGGAATTGCTCTAATCAAGGTCATCAACAGTGACCTTGCCTAAGCCATTTGTCACTTCTCTCTGGGCTCGAAGGATGGAGCCTGTCTGCATTTAGCCCAATTTAGCACCCCTCCTTCCCAATGCTCTCTACTTCCAGGACACTCTGCTCTCCAGGCTTCTCTCCTACCTCTGATTGTTGCTACTCAGTCTTCCGTGCAGGAGGCTCTGCCTCCTCACGTTAAGTAGGTCCTGGGGCTGTCCTCTCTTTCCTTCTCTGTCTACACTCTCTCTAGGACAGGGCTCTCCACCTCAACACCACTGGCATTCGGGGCCAGATAATTCTGTGCTGTGGGGGGTATAGCAGGACTTTTAAGCAGCATCCCTGGCCTCCACCCAGTAGCAAACCTCCCCCCACCCAGGTGTAACAACCAAAAATGCTTCCAGATGTTGCCAAATGTCCCCTGGAAGAAGGGGGCAAGTCACCGCTACTGGAGAACCACCACCCTAAGATCTAGAGTCTAAGGGATCTGAATCCCATTTGTATCCCAGTGAGTCCCAAATCATAGCCCCTGCTTGATCTCTCCACTGATCTGGACTCCACTTGGATGCTTCATGGGCATCTGAAATGTAACACAGCCCGAACAGAACTTCTCACTCACACGTGCCCACACCTCCAATACCTGTCCTTTCATTCTCTCAGCCTCGAAGGACGCACCATTATCCACCCAGTTAGTCAAGTCCATGACCCAAATCCTTCTTTCCCCCAGCCCCTCACATCCAATCTGTTAGCTTCAGTACTTAAATATATTCCAAACCCATCAACTTCCCTCCAGCTCCGGGGCTAACATCCCAGACTAAGGTACTGTCCTCGCTCTCTGAGGATGTCATACTCCCCAACTGTACTTCTTGCTTCCTATTTTCTCCCTACAATCTAATCTTTACATGGCTGTTAGGGGGGCTCTTTTCAAACTAGGAGTTTCTTGGTCTTCATCTCACTTGCCACCATCCGACATTACTGCACTTGTTTGTTTGCTTGCCTTATTATCCATCTTCTCCCACTGGAATGTATGGGTCATAAGGGCAGGGACTCTGTTCTCCTTGTTCACTGTATCCTCACCCAGGGCCCAGGATTTTTCATGCAGAATAGTGCTCAACAAGCATGCATTGAATGAACAAATTGTTAGTCACCATTCCTGCCTTCCTCACTAACGGGGCCATCTTGACTTGATGCCATACATACAGACGCCACAGGTGGATTGTGCCTAAGGACCTCCCCACTCCCACCACCCCCCCCCAGTCAGATCCCAGATCCTCTGTCTCTGAAAGCCCAGTGCTCAGAACACTTGGGAGGTAGTGAGTAGAGGAGAGAGGACAAGCTTTGCATCTAGCCCCACAGCTTCCATAGGCCAACCTAAATATTGGCTCCTAACGTATCTCGTCTGTAGCTCAGAGCCCCTCCTCAAACTCCCACCTGCTTTCTCCCCACTGCAACCTCCATCCCTTTATTCCTGAGTGGCGGGATGGTCTCCAGGCATCCAGGTAAAAACCCAGCCCCAGGGATCAACTCCTCCAGCCTTCTCTCCTTCCCTAAGGGAGAGCTCTCCTTGGTCAAGCAAGAACTGCCCTCACCTGCTGATAAAGCACAGGAGGGAGAACAGTCTCTGAACCTAATAGAGAGGACTCAGCCCTGTGAGCTGAGATCGGGGTGCTGCTAGCCTGGGCAGGAGGACGACGGAGTGCTCACCGCCCCCTTTAAGCGGACTCCAAACTCTACAAGGTTTAAGATGTTCTTGGCTCTGCCATTTGCACCCTAAGAATATTTTGCCATTGAGCATTTACACAGACCCTTAAACGAATAGTGACAAGTTTCTGCCAAAAGTATTTTCCTTAGTGAGTTCCATTAAGCCAATTTAATTCCTTGATTTTATTTCATAGTTCACCAATTCCTATTTTTACCCCTTTCAATTTTGTTTAGCCAAAATCAGTTTTCCCAAGACCAAGTCTTTTTCTCGTGTGAATTTTACAATAAAGATTTGATTCCTTAGTCAGATTTTTATCCTAGCAGCATCGACCAAGTATGGTTCTGCCCACTGTTTCGTAGGTAATGATTACTTCTACCAAGTAGAAGTAATTTTCCTAGTGACCTGTTCAAAACAGTGGCATCAAAATGGCAAGTTTAAGACATCCCCCTGTAGATTCTTTGAGCACAGAGAGCACTTTTTGAGACTTTCAGGAGGGGTTCAGTGTGATGGTTCTTGCAGGCGAATGGGGCAGGCAGACACAAGAGTGGTAAGAGGAAGCACTTTGAGATCTGGCTTCATGGGGTCAGAGAGACCGATCTTCCTATGAACTGACCAGTCTGGGAAATCCACACAGCTTTTTGGGTGGCAAGCAAAGCCGCTAACTGTGTCAAGAGAGCAGGGTGCCAGCACAAGCCTTGTCCTTGCATATTGGACACCCACTGGTAGGAAGGTTCTTCACCCTCCCCTGCAGGGGCCTGACCTCTCTCCAAACCAGGAGGTTTGTGTGTAGCTCTCTGTCAGCCCAGAGCTGTCTAGACACAGCTGGGCTGCTGAATGCAGCTCCAGTGAGAACACATGTCTATATTTGGGGAACACAAACCAACTGGGAAGGGATGTTTCCTTAGGGGTTGTGATAGCCTGAGATGAAGCTGGAAACTGGCCAGACCCAGCCCTTCTTGCCTCCCTGGGCTTCACCAACACATGAGGCCTTTCATTCTGACTGACAGCATGGCTGTCAGAGGCCAGGCCTCACATCAGGCTTCTTGAAGGACTTCCAGGACAGAGAGTTTGGTCTATTGCTCAGCCTCAGGCAGTCTGGGTGGACACAATTGATGGGCATTTGCTTGCGGTGGAGAGGAGAGGCACAATGCTCCTGGAGAAGCCAGGCCGTAAGCTTTACTTTGGGCTCCTGGCTCAGACTGAGCAGGGACCAGAAGACTGCAGAGATAGGATTCAGGGTCCAGAGAGAACCCCACTATGCCCTGGTTCTCTGTATGAAGCAGGAGGCTGTGCAAAGATGACCAAGGCTTAATACAGTGACAGACTTCAACAGCCTCACCTGTAAAGGGAGGCAGTTTACACAGGATTCCACTGGAAAGGCTGTAGGAAGGTTACGTCGAGAGGACACACACCAATTGCCTAACACTAGCACCGGCCCTGGCATAGAGCAGGAGCTCGGGGAAACAGACGTTCCTTTACTTCTGCCCTAGCTCTCTCCTCCCAGTTTCGCCCAGGAGCCTCTGATAGCTACAAATCCCATAGACAGAGAGCACTGTTCAGAGCATCTCAGGCCAAGGAGCTGACCACGTTTCTAAGTGGAGCAAGCCTCGGTGCTGCCTGAGGGGCAGGATCCCCCAGGATCTGGTATGGTCTTTCCTCAATCACAGCCAGACACCTTCCTTGTGGCCTGAACCTTGACAAAGCCAGAGGACATAGTTCCAGGCTAGAGCACCCCCGAGCTGTGGAGGTCAGAAGTGGTCTTGAGATCAGTCTCTCGGTTCAGATGAGCACCCGCTCCTAGCGTTAGTGATCGCTAGAATCTCTGGATTTCTGAGGCAACAGGTATGGGCCAGA